TAGAACTTACATGCAGCTTTTAGTCTTATTTACTGTCCTAGCATAAAGTGCCAAGTATTTAAGTCCTAATTTTGTTGGTCATAGACTGCAACTTTTTTTTAAATATATGAAAGGTGTATGCAAAATATTTTTGCATGTTATCTTTAACAACATTCAATAAAACAGGGTATAATCAAAAGTACTGGTGTTTTTCCACTTAGAGCATAAAAAACCGCAGAATTTGTGTCAGCAAGAAAAAAAAGAGGGAAGAATTGTGACATCACCGAAAATTGTGATAGCTGGCCTGGCATAAAAAAAAAATCAGCAAATGAGTTCAAAACAAAAACAATTGGACGACACGGACTCAGGCGCTGTCATTGTCCTGGGTGTGACCCAGTGTTTTGTGTTATTTGTAATCATTCCCAGTATTTAGTGTTCTCTGTGCCTCCCTTATGTTTGGTCTCTGTGCTTTTCAGTTGATCTGTCTCCCGTCAGTTGTAGTCCCAAGTCAAGGCGTCACTGTGTTACGTTTCCTGTTTTACTTTGAAGGTCTGTGTCCTGCATGAATGTACTTCCCTTGGGTCTCGTCATGTCTGATTTCATCAAGCTGTATTCCCCTATCTGTGTCTCAGTCCCCTCGTTATTGCCCATTGTATTTAAGCCCGGTGTTTCTCTGTGCCAGTGTTGTGTGTGTGTGTGTGTGTGTCCCCCATATTATGGCTATGTTTCTCTGTGTGTTTCCCCGTGAGTTTAGTTTATTCTTTTCCAGTTTAGTTTAGTTTTGTGTTGTATGCCTTTTCCTTTGCCTGCAATAAAGCTGTAGTTTTTGAGTTCATCCCTCGTGTCCAGGAGTCTGCATTTTGGGTCCAACTCCTGCCTCCACACATCCGAATCTTGACAGGGGCAGACTGGAATCACAAGTTAACTGTTCTTTTATTTACACAAAAACACCAGGTGCAGAATATATACAGGTGGGAGGGAAAGCCAGGGGTTCCAGTGGTCTGCGGGGTAGGGTCGGGGGAGAGAAACCAGTCGTTGTCACTCATTCACTCCGTTTGAGAGATCCACACGCACGACACTCTAAACTGTATACATCCACGTTTAAGTTTCCACAGTTTGAGATGTCTAAACACAGAGAGACGAAAGTAACAAATAGTTACATA